TGAGGCAGGACATCAGACTTAGCTCCCAATTCTTCTCCACTCCATTGCTCTAATGCAATTAACTCCACTGGTGGGAATAGAAGAGGAGAGCTGGAGAAATTCCTGATTAATCCAATCAAATAGGTCCATGGTCTGTGTGTGTGTGTGTGTGTGTGTGTGTGTGTGTGTGTGTGTGTGTGTGTGTTCTGCCTCAGGCTGCTAGTGAAACTTGTCATGGCAGATCGTATTAGTGGGCAGATATCTTAAGTGCTGGACAGTCCACAGCTTTTCAAATGGACAAGGTGCCTCTGTTAGTTAAGTAGGCCATATACTGTTTAATGGATTCACTCTGGAGGTCTAACTGTAGCTGCTTTATCGAACCCTTTATTCCACCAATGACCAGAGTAATGTCTCAATCAGAATGAAATAGTCTTATGTAAAGTTGTATGCCTCCTTCAAGATTGCAGTCCTGATAAATACAGTATACGCTGATAAAGCCACATCGAAGAGTTCAAATGAAAAACTGGTAACAGTGGGGCACATTTTGTGATAAAAGCACCAAGTCTGGCAGGTGTGTTGATGGATATATTGGGAACAAAACTGGATATTGAGCCATCAGAAACTCGCACACTCGTGAACGTGGCAGCTATTTATTTTTAATGGCTGCCAGCGGTTGGTCAAACACTCCTATCCGTTGGACCCACATGCAATAACAGATATAATCTAGATCCAAGACATTCATGAAACCAGATAAAATACTCAATCAGACGTATGGACATGGTCTGATCCTAGACTGGTCATTGTATTATATTATGATTTTAACATATCATGCCATGAATCAGTAAAAAACAGTTCTCGTAGTTTTATTTTGTCAGATGGTGGACAGAGCAAACTTTTTTTTTATTATTTAGAAAAGTGCAAAAGCATGTGAGTAATATAACTATAATTATGTAGACTGCTCCCAGTCATATTTATAGGTCTTTTAAAAGAAATGTCTTAAAATGCCTAAAGGTCCCCTACAGTGGGGAATTTCACAGCAGCCACCCACCTGCTATGTTTCGGTGGAGGTGGCTGTCGAATGTGTCTGCTTCGGATTATATACATCACACGGGGGAACGCTGAAACTTTTTATCCTGCAGCTCCACTGTATCCTCAGTGTCCTCTTCCTTACATAATATTCACACTACACTGTCACGCCATGTTACTGCCTACTGCCTGTCACAGTTGTGAAAAATAATGAGTGTACTTGTGTGTGTGTGTGTGTGTGTGTGTGTGTGTGTGTGTGTGTGTGTGT